GTTTATTTATTTTATTTATTATTATTTTTATTGTTAAAAATTAAAATTTTTTAAATGATAAAAAAATTTACATTCTTCTTTTACAAGTACTTTCAATGTTCAAAATAATTTATACAAGTTTCATTGCGATTTACTGATTAGTTACAAAGATATAGAATAAATAAATATTTTGTTTATTTACTGGACAACTAGTTCATGCATCACAATGTAACTCTACGTAAATAATCTTGAATATATAATATACTTATATTAAAAAATTGAGATTTTTATCATTTATTTGATATATAATATATGTATATAATACATTTCCATATATTTTTATTAAAGCACAGATTAAAAAAATACTATTTATTAAAATAACTTATGATCCAGATAGTAAACCGTCATCAAATTTGTCGTATTATTTTTAAACGTGATTTAGAATAATCTGTGATTTTTTCATAATTTTGTTATCATTTTGAAAATATATATAAAACATTTTTTAAAATTCAACACAAAAAAGGGACTTTAGTAGATCGTCTTTAACACAAATACAAAAATTTTTTAGTGTGTATATAATGAAATACATAATTTCTTAATAATATACCTTCAGAAATAACTGGTAATAAATAATCACCTATGGTGACGCGCCAGATTGATGGCGTATCCGTTCGCCATGGAGCCTCCAGGACAGAAGAGTCCCTCACCTCCTTGCCAACCGATGATGGCGCGCATCTCTCGCAAGACATCCTCCTCCATCAGAGAGAACACCGGAGATACCTCGTAGGTATAAACGGATGGATTGAGTGCATCGGTCAGCCATTGGCCCAGCAACCCGTACGGGTCCAGACTGGAGAACAGTTGGTTCACGAAGTGCGGATGGCCCGTCTTCACGCTGTACTTGATGATGTCGCGCGTCAGCGTCAGCAACTCCTCATGACTGACACCCTCGGCTGGCAACTTGAGGTCGACCATGGAGCGTAAATCGTAAGGATCGACCCATTCGACTACGCGATCCTCCCCAGAGGTGGACTAGACAGAAAATACGATAATAAATGAATGAAAGATTACAATTTTTATGTGATTTTATAACTTACAGTACCTTAGTTTGACGTTTAATCACGTTAAATGTTTAACGTTAAAGAATAGTATCGAAAAGTACAAGGAATTTGAAGAAATGTAACAGAATTTCTGTTAAGGAAAATCCATTTTCTTGAATTCCTCGATCTTGAATCTTTCGATCTTACATTCCTCAGAATTAATAAATGAATTTGCAGAATACGCCGTAGGTATTTCCTGAATCTCCACGGGAGACAATGCGTTCTCTAAAGATTGAGTTTTTTTTCTCGATATGGGTTCCTGGTCGAGTCACTTAATGTGATCTACGTTTAATTTGCTGAGCAATACAGCACATACATGACAATAAAATCAATACCGGCGATTTAATTGCCGCTAGTCATTCGCTGTTAATTATTGGGTATGAGAATAAGTTTCCGCCCTTTTTTTAATGAAAAAGATGTATTTATTTAAACAAAACAATACAAAGTGAGTTTATTCAAAGTATGCTCCGTCGGAAGCGACAACTTTCTCCCACCTTTCCGGTAATAAACAGATTCCGCGAAGGAAAAAATCTGGTTCTTTTGAAGCGATCCATTCATCAAGCCATTTTTTGATATCTTCATAAGAATTGAATCATTCTCCAGAAAGGGTCGACTGCGTGGAACAAATGGAAACCTGAAGGAGCAATGTCTGGTGAATACGGCGAGTGGGACAGAATTTCCCACTTCACTCCT